ATTCATTAAAAATTTAATTTAACAGTTAAAATAACAGTTTCTTTCGTTACTTCAAAATAATAGAATTTACCATAGAAGTTCTTAAAAAAAAAAAAAAAGGTAACGACTTATTTCTTCAAAGAGTTTTTGTAAGACTCCTAAAAGAAAGACTGTAAATATATATTACTCTATCGCCAGGATTATATACTAATCCGCTTTCCATTAGGGTGGCTTCCTATGACTAGGACGTATTTAAGTATTCTACCCAAAGCAACATAGGCGATCATGATTTATATAAACCAAACACAACAAGTAAACTTAAAAAAAAAAAAAAAAATCAAATTCATCTTATTTTTCATTTGTGTCATTCCAGTCAAGATAGAACTACTGGAAATAGCTTTTAAGAAATAAATGTGACGTCGGCTTAATGGGCCCTCCAAAGTCATCCATTACGTGATCTTGGCAAGACCGTTTCACCTTTCTTGACCATGAGTTTACGGGTTCGATTAGTTTGTTAATTTAAGTTCATGTGAAATTATTTTACAGTAATAAAAAAATTAAATGTGATTATTTTTTAAAGTTTTTTTACTGTAATAAAACTCGAATCGGTGAAATGAACGGGATCTATAACTCTTAAATTAGAGAACGCCCAAAGCAATGTGTCATCTTTAGTCTAGATTTTTTTTTCTTTAATCGAGAGTGTTTAGTATGAGAATTCGTACCATAATTTAAATCATAATTTATAATTCGTTATAATATTTTTTTTCTCATAAAAAATACACATAAATTAAAAATAATTTTAAATTCGTGAAACACACGTTCCCCAATTAATTATCATTCCTTGCTTCGAAGCTGCAAGAAGTTGACGTCTTTAATTTATTGGGTTTAGATGGACGTGTATGGAATTATCCTTCCTTTTTGCCAAGAATAAAGGCAAAAAGCTTCAAAACACAACCTGGTGGGATGAGGTCACATGTTTCTTTACATCATCATATATAAAGTGAAAAAGATGGAATAAATTACCTCGTTTCGTTGATTTGAGTTTAGAATTCGAGTTTTACTACAGTAAAAAGCTCTCACAAACAATCACATCTAACTTTTTTACTACAATAAAAAGCTCTCCCATACAATCACATCTCAACTCAAATTCTAAACTCGAATCATCGGAACGAACGAAGCCAGCAAGCTCTACTCCACATCTACGTCGTCCTCTAAAATCTCAAACTCCACCAAAGAACATTCCCAGTGTCTATTATTCCCTCTTTTTTACTTTATTTTTTTGGTTGGGAATAATTTATTTGTCGTCAATTTTCTTTCCCTCCTCTTATGTAGACCATTTGGCGATCTTCTTTCAATGCAATAAACGGCGTAGCATGGCAACCACCCTTTTTTTTTTTCATTAGTATTTGGAAAATGTTTTGATAAGGTACAAACAAATACTCACCGCTTTTACTCAAAAAAAAAAAAAAAGAAAAGAAAAAAGAGAGAAAGTATACTCACCACACTAAAAAGTGAGATTTGTATCACGTTTAATTCGTTGATTCGAATTTTTAATTTGAATTGAGATGTGACTTTTATGTGAGAACTTTTTACTGTAGTAAAAAAAAAAGATGTGATTATTTCTGAGAGCTTTTTATTGTAGTAAAATTTAAATTCTAAAATCGAATCAGTGAAATAAACGATGCCTAAATTTCTTGTCTGATAGGATTATTATGCCTAAATGGTAAACTTTGGATTTACTCGATCATGGGATAGTTCTGGGATTTATGGGGTAAATGGATTTAGCAAATTTAATCATGGTTAAGTAGAGATTTTTTCCAAGTCAATCCTAATTTTACTAATATTTACCAACTTTTTCTATTAAAAAAAAAAATTATATTTTTTTATTCTGTCAAAAAATTATATTTTTTTATTCTGTCAAAAAATACGTTTTTTTATTTTTTATTTTTTATTTTTTATTTTTACCTCTTTCATCTCCAAATGCAATTGCAAGCCACCCGAAGAACTCTCAAGTAAAAACTTAACTAGATGGAAAATTTATGAGAGTCGAACCGAAATATGGCATTTTTTAATACAAACATCACATAATAATTATCATAATGACACTCATTATTTGGGAGACAACATATTTATAAAACTAAATTAAATAAATAATAAAAATTAAAACTATTTAAAATAAATAACAGTTTATCGTGTAAATATTTTATTTAAGACTAGTAAAAATATTCTCCACGTAAATTTTCTTTTTATAACTGCTAAAAAGATCTTTTTTTCCACATAAATAAAGATTTTTTACCATGAAAATGATTTTTCACCAGTCGTAAATGACATATTTACATGATAAACTGCTATTCATTTTAAATACTTTTAAAATTTACTATTTACTTCATTTAATTTTATAAATGCTATTTAATACAGTTTCCCGTCAATAATGTGTTTTATGTTAATTTATGTAGTTATTATTTTAGAAATATTAACTTTTGCTATAAGAATATTCTACTTTTTTCGGCCTAGATTTAAACATGACTACAATTTTCCCATGTGTCCAAACAGTTCTTAAGGACCCATTTTCAAAGCCTAAAAAAACCTAGAAAAATAGATAATACTATTTTATTTTTACCATTATTTTTAAATTTATTTTATGTAACTAATAACAAATAAGTTATCTTTTTCATAATCTGCAGATTTTCTTCACTAAAAAAAAAAAAAAAAAAAACACTCTAGGCTATCTTTCATGTCTTGCAGGTTTATTTTTCATATCCTGGACGAGCATGGAGTATTGCCAGAATCCTATCAAGCCATAGTCGGATTTCACTTTCTGATGGGTGGTGGCATGCACCACCGGCACCAAACGCTTCAAAAGCTGACGGCAACAACGTTCATACAGCTCAATTGTGACGCGTTAACATAACAAAAAGAACACTGACCACAGGTCTTCTATATATTTTCCTCCCCATAAAGGCAGGGAAAGAAATGAGAGATAAATGTTGATGCAGATGGAAAAATATTTTCATTACAAGAACCATGAGGTATTCCAGCAGTGCAATAAAAACAGAAGAAGAAGAATAATGTAAATGGAGTTTATGTATTCGGCAAAACGGCATCAGGCGAAGAATGTAAATGGAGTTTAAGGAGGAGGGAAGAAGGGATTTATACATGATGCCCGTACTAAATTTCTATTCTTTAAACAAAAGACGGGATTTCTTGTCCATTTCTTTTTTTTTATCCGTCTCCTGTTGTGTTGCTGGCTCGAACAGCTAATTGCATAAGTTATAGTGAGAACAAGCCTTTCGGGTGACAGCTTTGGTAAGAGAGGGCACGTGCTTTGAGATAACTAATCCCTCTGAAGCGTGAGCTTGCAAAATGCTTACACTTCGGTTGTGTGATTAGGTTTGTGTGAAGTCATGAAAGTGACTCAAAAAGAAATGAAATTTAGAAGACTGGATCTTTCCGTCAAGAAGAAGAAGAAGCGTAAATGGAGTTTATGTATTCCGCTCAACAGCATCAGGTGAGTTTTATGTACTCGGCTCAACGGCATAGCGATTAGAACTCAGATGCAAACCTAGTGGTAGTCAAACTGTGAGTGTAGATGGACAGGACGCGAGAATGCTTAAAGGGTAACCCATCAATCCAATCATATGAAATTACTGTATCCGTCAAGGTTTACTAGAACAGAGTTTCATAAAAAGCCAAGCTACATCATCATTTACCAACGGCAATCTATAAATTTTTTGACAAACTTAGGCGGTTAGGCCAGTTTGGGGTTGCTGTGCTTTTAAAATAATTAATGTGCTTTTAATAGAAGCACTACTTTTACTTAAAAGCAAAAATAGAAGCGGGAGTAGAATCTAAAAGTTACACATACCAACTTCTCAAAATAACTTAAAAAGTACATTGATTTGTGTGCAAAGTGCTTTTGTACACCTTTATCAAACACTATAATCGCATCATTTATTGTGCAAAGTGCTTTTGGGAGTTTCAAAAGCAATCCCAAACACACCCTTGGAAATGAAACTGCCATCTACTCTTTAACTGGTTTTATTTAGCGACTCATGTCACTCGCCTCTATCCCATGGCTGGCTCACAAAGTTGCACAAACATGATGTGCTCCACTCAAATCGAATATCCTTTACCGATCAGCTCCAAATGCTTGGATCACACTCCATCCCAACCAAAATTTTTGGCTTTTACACTATTGATGCTTATTGTAAATTTTTTGTGTACACGTTTCTGGCCTTCACCTATACTATCTCGATTAATTCACACATTAGTAACTTGAGAAATACGAGACTATTTCCTTTTCAACTTCTTAGAGTGCAAAAATCTTCCAGAAAAACAGCTAGTCATAAACCCGCCACAGCTTCATGGCATAATAGTACTTTATCTAAAATCCTTCCCCTTGAATGTCATCACATAGTTTGCCACAGTAAGCAGCAACGCTCTACCTAATTCCTATTTTACTCCCAATTCATGTCCTATCGCCAGTACACTGTAAAGCTAAGTCCTTCCTCACCATTCAAGAAAGAACAAACGCATGTTCATTAGCTTCATAACTGTTCTTTAAGCTAATCTAGTTCCATCATTAACACCGGTTAAGTGTTAATAACCTGCATCCATTCACGTTATGCGACATCTACAAAAATCCTCTAAAAAATCTTAGGGGGGACGGGCGACAAAAGCTCTGCTATCAACTTAAAAATTTTCGGTACCAGTCTCGTGGTAGTAGATCAATTAAAAAGCTACTAGGAAAGAAGAAGAAAGTGTGAATATAAATAAATGTAAATGATCTGAAGTGGTACGTAGATTCTGGGGAGTTTCTGGTTCATACCTAATTTACTCAAAAGGTAAAGAGAGAGAAAAAAACAACCACAGTGAAAGCATATGAAATGCAATGTTCTATAAGTGTAATTATCACGATAACCTTGCCAATATGGACATGACTAAAGACCGCAAAGTTGTTAATGGAGACCAATAACTTCATGTAGAAAAACAGCTTAATCTAATAAACAAAACAAGGCGCCAAATCAAAAGGGCAAGCAGAGATTATATTAAGCAACTGATAAAAAATGAGGAATCTATTGCTTCCCTACATTGAAAATACATCCATCTCGGAGAATCCCAGCAGAGAAAACCCTTTTCAATTTTCATGAGTACATTTAAACCCATATTATTCTCTAAGAAGAGCACAAAATAGTTCAGCATTGACAAGAAGTATACAAATACACTCCGTTGTTCAGTAAAAAAAGGTCAAAATGCTTGATTCGAGAACAACAGTCTGGTTATTAACAGATTATCAAGGAAGGAAAACTCCGCCAAAAGAAATCAAAACCCTAAGCATGTGAAATCAAAATCAAATTCATTTCTTGTAACGAGCTACCTCATCTTCGTTGGGGAAGAATCCCATGAGTCGTCCGGCGGAGTTCTGGTAGGCGTACATGAACCCTCCCATAAGCCCAATCAGGCCTCCCGTTACCATCGACGGTCCTTTAATCCCTGGCTTTATCCCTGAAACACAGAAAAAAGGAAAAAAAAAAAAAAAAGATTCAATTTGAGTTTCTCCTTTTTCCGATTATATCTTCGTTACCGAATCAATTGGGATAAAGAGAAGATTGAGGAAAATGGAAAAGCACCGGAGAGGTAGCCGACGGTGACGGAGATGCCGGTGATGGTGACGAAGCGGAGGTAGTCGAGAGAGCTGAAGTTTCCGACGACTTTGGTGAAGGGAGGGTTCCGATCTACCACCGGGTACTCTGGCTTCGCCGACGCTGTGATGTCTGTGTTCATTTTTGCAATTTTTGTTTGTTTGTTCGTTTCACTCCCAAACCTCACTCCGAGCCCTTCTTCTCTGAGAAATTTTCTTTCTCTCGGAATATGGCGTTATAGGAGTAGAAAAACTCCGAAGTTGCTCTTTCTGTATTGGGCCCCTGGTTGAACAATGGGCCTTATACAATCACAGCTTGGAGTACAACCCATAGGAGAGAACTACATGTTTTAGTCCCATAACATCACACCTCTTAATTCTACCATTTTAAAAAGGGAGAAAGAGAAAAATAGGTTAAGATTTGAGATGAATTAAAATTAATAGGCTAATAGTTTACATAAGTTAATAAATAGGTTAAATTACTGTTTTCGTCCATAACTTGTATGGTTATGAACCATAACTTGACAAGTTATTCCCGGTTTTTATCCATAACTTGTCTGGTTATGAACCATAACTTGACAAGTTTATCCATAACTTATCTGATTATGAACCATAACAAGACAACAAGAGGTCCGCCAAAATCACCAAATTCGTATATGCTATATGTATATCTATATGTTTTTTTTGCGCTGTATGTTTGATCGATTTGAAAGGCTGTTAATATATTGATAAGATGCATCTAGTTATTCTTACTTACTAGTGTTTAAACTCAAATAGCGATTTCAATTTGTAGTCTTGTTAGACTAGACGTGTGTTTTCCATAGTTTTTCATGTGTTTGTTTTGCTTCTAATTAGCCAAAGTAAACCAGATCTGAAACCATGCTAATCGGATCTGCGTTTGTGTTGAACATCTTGGGATTTGATTTCAAGATTTGGTTTTTTAAACTATCTTTATGTGTTATGATCTTATTTTTATTGCCTTGTTTATTGAGATTTTGTTCGTAAGGTTATTTAGACTGATTTCATTAGTTTGATTTATTGTCTTGGTTTGTTAAATTGCTTGGCTTTACCTTGGTTTTCTGTTTTGCTCTGTTGTTTGGTGCCTCCTAGTTAGTTTTTGGTACTGATTTGTTTTTGGTTGTTTGCTTTGGTGTCTTGTTGCCTTTGGCATTCTTTCAATGAAAGGTTCATTTAGCTAAAATGATTGGTGCTGAAGTTTGGTAGTGTGTGAGTTGCAGTTCGTATCTTCTGAATGTTATATGTCTAAGTTATTGTATGTTGTGTGTTCTTTAGAGATGTGTTCTCCCATCCCAGTTCAATGAGATTATGATTTACTTGTGAAATTGAACTTTTCATGATGAGTTGTAAGTTAATAAGTTTCATGATGAGTGGTGAGCTATAAATATTGAGAGTTTCTTTGAAAAGGAGTTTTCCATTTTCATTTGTTAAGTGTATTACTTTGATTTTATGTTGATCTTGTTCAATGTTGTGTGTCTTTGGCATCATTCATTTCACCGATTTGAGTTTTCAATTTCAGTTTTACTACAGTTAACAGCTTTCACATAAAGTTTTATTTAACTTTTTTTGCTACAGTTAAAAGCTCTCACATCGTATAGTTCGTTGATTCAAGTTTTTAATTCGAGTTGAGATGTGACTTTATGTGAGAGCTTTTTACTATAGTAAAACTCGAATCGGTGAAATAAATCAAGCTAAAGTCATATCTCAATTTAAATTGAAAATTTGAATTGACGAATTGAACGAGAGAGAATGCTATGGAGGCTTATTATTGCAGATTTTGCTATATCTGATTGGATGAGTTTTCCACAAAGAATTTTTTTTATTTTTTGAAGTCTCTTGACTAGACACCGTTTCTCTGATGAATTGTTAAGCGTAATGAAGTTGGCTCATGGTGCTGACGGGTGGGGTGGCAACAGTGATTTCAAATGGGGCCTTTGTTGGTTTATTACCATTTCGTTATGATTTGCGTTTTCTTTTTCCTGATTATAGATTTAATTTTCCATGTAATTTTTTTTGTTAATTTGGTTATTTTGATTGTATTCAGGAATCTAGTTTGTTTTTTTTTTTTTTTTTTTTTTTTTTTTTTTTTTTTTTTTTTTGTTATAGTAATCTAATTAGTTTGTGTAATATTTTTTAAAATTTTTTATCAGAAATTTGTTTTGACATAGATTTTATGCGTAATTCTTACAAAGTAATATTAAAATTAGAAAAGTAATTTGATAGTTATGAGATAGTCTGAGTTGACTATGGCAGGCGGCTGGCTTAACTTCTCAAACTATGGATCATAGTTTGAGAAACTATAAGTAATAATCTGACAGATTATGGATCATAGTCTGACAGAATATAGTTGGGCCGACATAACCTATCAAAATATGAATCATAGTCTGATAGACTATGGATCATAGTCTAAGAGATTATGGCTGGCCGACATAACTTGTCAGATTATAGGTCATAGTTTGACAGACTATCGGTCGGCCACAAGAGACCCTGCCGGACGGACACTGGAGACTGTTAGGTATTTTTATTAGTTGGCAATTTATTGACAATCTTGTAAAAATTCAAAAATAGGTTCAAGAAGATTTCGTATTGCAAAAAGAAGATTCAGAATCAGATTTGAAGTTAAAGTTGCAGATTTTGTTAAGTTGAGATTTGAAGAGATAAGGATAAAGACTTGGTCAAATAAAGATAAGACATTAGTTAAGATTTGGAGAGATAAAGATAAGGCCTTTGTCAAAAGAAGATAAGGCAGATTGATATTTGAATTCAAAGGTATATTCGAATTTTGTGTGTGTGTGTGTGTGTGAATGGTTTTTTTGGATGGGCATTGACGTGGGGCAAACATATTAAAGTGGGTTTTGAAATTCAAAGTGCAAATGCCAAAAAAGTGATAATCGGATTTGGTGCAAATGCCAAAAAAGTGATAATCGAATTTGGATAAGGTGGATTCAAAAGGAGATTTAGTTTTCAGTTTGGATTAAAAAAAAAAAGAAAGATGTTCAATGTGGAGAGAATAGGCAGGTAGCTTTATTTAAGGTTTCATGGTAGCTAATAATGTGGGAGAGGTTTAATAGAATATTTTCAGAAAAAGTCTGTGAGTTTTGGTGAGCCTAGTGCGCTATTGAGATCGTCCTTCGGGAGAGGGATTTGTTACTTTCGGGAGGAAGCTCTGTCGGTCGAAGGGAGTTCACCGTGCAGTTTAGAAGATGTGTGGTGCACGCTAAACAAATCATTGTGGAGATTCGTCACAGTGGCGTTGTTGTCTAGGAGGGAGTCATTGAGTGAATAAGTCTGTTCGGTGTCTGTAATTTCTGGAACATAGTGAATTGTTTATTGTCTGGGCGTGGTCCTGTAGAGTAGGTGTGCGCACCGAACTGCGATATCATATTGTGTGTTCCTTTACTTTCTGCACTTTATTTTACTCGAGCAACTGAATGTAATTAACTCAGATCTAACAGAGACCTTGTTGAAGGTTCGTCAGACGGCGGTTAGAGACCCGCTGGCTAGTGCATGAGAACTTGTCGGACGGCCGTCGGAAACCTGCCGATCGACGCTGAAGAACCCGTAAGATGGCCACCGGAGATCCGCTGGCTGACCACTAGAGGTCCACCAGACGGCGATCATAGGCAGCCTAGATTTTGTAAATTAGCAATTAACTTTAAAGGTATTTTAATAATTTACATATTGAACTTCTGACTAATGTTCGACTATATTTAGTCTAAAAGGATAGAAATAAAATGAGTAATATTTGAGGGTTAATAATAACTTGTTGTACCATTTTGAAGGGTAGTTGTAAAAATCACCCCAATCCACAATGATCAATACAACACGGCAAAATTTCCTAATAAATTCATAAATAGTGTCTGAATACTTTTTTCTCTCTAGAATTATTCCTCGTAGTTGATTTTATCCTGTAAAGTCTCTAAACTTAAAAATCGTCTCATGAATGGTTTTTTTATTAAATTTTAAATAGAAACCGTTAATATTAGTTTATTTATTAAATAAATAGATGGAAAACAATAAAATATGAGAAGTTGTATAAATGTAGTCTGTAAATTAAAAAAAAAAGTGGTTTTACCCATTAAGTTTCTAAATAACCTCACATGAACAAAATATTTTTATTTTTTTTGTAACAATACATTAAAAAATATAGAATAGTCGTGTAACACACCTTGGAGTATTTGTTGACTGCAGTTTGTGTTTAATTGCTTTTACTCTTTCTTTAGGGAATTTTTTTCTCTTAATTTGGCGTTGAAAGATTCTGACAATAGGTCATATATATACGAGGATTATCTTCTTAGTTGAATTTCGAATGTGATAGGTTTTAATTTTTTGTTTTGTTTTGAATTAAATTTGTATGTAAATTTGTTTCTTTTTTTTTTATCAAGAAAATTAAAAAAAAAACACTAAAGTGCTAGATTAGGAATATAATAGGATAACAATGGATATAATACAAAAGATAGTTATAAAAATATACATTATTATGGGACAATAATTAATTTGAGAAAATTAATTAATATGGTGGGGGCAATTAAAATCACTAAATTTTTTTTATCAAAATTACATACGTAAATAAATAGATAAAAAAAGGACAATGTGTCATGTATGTAGCAAAGAAACTAATTTTGACATATATATATATATATATTAGTTTAGGTATTACATATGGTATAACTTTGGCATATTTATATAACAAATGAATTACTTTTGGCATTATTTTTTGTTTAGGGACTAAATTTAAAACTTTAATATAAGGAGTTAAGGACTTCTAAAGAAAGAAAGTTTGGAGACTTTAATGAGATAAAGTTAACGGTTTTCATTCATAATTAAATAAAGGAACTATTTTTGAGACTTTTTTTTTTAGTTAAGCAATTATTTATATGAGATGAAATTGACTACATAAATTAATTTTAAAGAGAAAAAAGAATTCAGAAACTATCCATAATAGTGATATAATAATTATGATAATAATGTCATATTTTAAACTATATAATTATATAGATATTATCAACGGAACTATTTATGAGACTTTTTTTTAGTTCAGCAATTATTTATATGAGATGAAAGTGACTACATAAATTAATTTTAAAGAGAAAAAAGAATTCAGAAACTATTGATAATGGTGATATAATAATTATGATAATAATGTCATATTTTAAACTATATAATTATATAGATATTATTTCTATTATATAAAATTTTACTATTCTTTAAT